ACAAATATTTAAAGAAATTAAGATGAATATTTAAAGAAACACAAAAGGAAAAAATGAACTAAAAAGTTTGCCCTCTGGCCGGGACAACAAAGTAAATAAATTAAGAGTAAAAGTCAATAAAGCTTAATTTTTAAATGACTCCATGCAAAGATGGCCATTGCTCGATTTACAACAGTCTCCCTTGAAAACTTTATCTGATCAAGTTTGAATTGGATATCCATGTTTTTGTTTTTTTAAACTGTTAATTTTCATTTGCAGGTTCTCTGCTTAAGTGAATTGCACATTCTTTGCTTTATACAAGAAGCAGCGGAGAAACTTGTCGAGTCAGAAAACCATTGCTTTCTTTCAGATTTTTAATCAGATTGGAACTCTCCTGCTCCAACATAAACCTTGGCTGGAACTCTCCTGTTCCAACATAAACCTTGGCTGGAACTCTCCTGCTCCAACATAAATCTTGGCTGGAACTCTCCTGCTCCAACATAAACCTTGGCTGGAACTCTCCTGTTCCAACATAAACCTTGGCTGGAACTCTCCTGCTCCAACATAAATCTTGGCTGGAACTCTCCTGCTCCAACATAAACCTTGGCTGGAACTCTCCTGCTCCAGCATAAACCTTGGCTGGAACTCTCTGCTTCAGCATAAACCTTGACTGGAACTCTTTGCTCCAGCATAAACCTTGGCTTTATTGCAAGACAGCCCCTTTGCAAGACAGCTCCTTTGAAAGACAGCTCCTTTGAAAGACAGCTCCTTTGCAAGACAGTCCCTTTGCAAGACAGCCCCTATGCAAACATCCTTCTAAATCTTGACGTCTCCTCCAGCAACATATCTCCTCCGGCAACAAATCTCATCCGGCAACATACCTCATCCAGAAACATATCTCCTCCGGCAACATATCTCCTCCGGCAACATATCTCCTCCGGCAACATATCTCTTCCATCATCATATCTCCTCCGGCAACATATCTCCTCCAGTAACAACTCCTCCAGCAACATATCTTCTCTCCGGCAACATATCTTCTCCAGAAACATATCTTCATCGAAAGTACCAAAAAACTGACTTCTGAGCCGGACTAGTAGGGTCTGGCTGCACAAATTACGCACATAACAATTAAAGAATCATTAGGGATTCTTTAAGGGTCTGCCTCAATATATTTAAGGACAGCTTCACCAACAGGACAGCTCTTATCAACGACAGCTCTGACCACTGGAAAGCTTCAACAGTCCAGATTTCGTTGCCAGCAGTCCGAGTGCAACCTGCGAACTTCTAAAATTAAAATAATTTATTAGATTATTAACTTAGTTTTTTATGTATCATATATAAACTCTTAATGTCATACATGTTTAATGAATTCTTGAGGGGGGGGGGAAGACGGCAGTTTGTTTACCGAAACTTAGTATTTTTCCTCAATTCACCCCTCCCCCATTGATTTAAGAAAGCAATGCATGCTAAACTCTAAATAATATCGTTTGTTACTTTAGAGAATATAAGCGTAAATTGTTGAAATGTGTCATATTTGGGGAAAATTATTGGATTTTTAAAATAATGGATCTTTCATTGTACAAAACTTTCAAAATTCTGAATATAGAAAAACCTTGCAGTATGGGTCCTGTAAGGCTGAAAATAAGGGCAAAGATATCTATTAAAAAGGGACAGAGATGATTTTTTATGAGCAGGAAACAGGAAGGATTAAAGGACTGAAAGAAATTATTTGTAATCCCTAATTTACAGAAACTTTGATTTTGTTTAAACTAAATTGCACAGTTCAACCAATTATTTTTTTAAAGCATGTAATTAGATTTCACTTTATGAAAAACAAGTGAAGATCTATTCCCGTTCATAAATGGAAAAATGGGCCGTTTTCTGTCAGTCAATGAAGACTGCAGGACTGAAAGGTATATATATGGTGAAACTCTTTTTAGAACAGGAAAATTATCAAAATCTGAACATGGAGTAATTGGTTTTTAACCCTATTCCCGCTGGGGGGGGGTCAATTTGACCCCCCCCTGTAGTTTTTTTTACATAACTCAAAAAGTATTGGTCTGAGGCTGTTGAAATTTTCTGACTTTTCTTACATACCCAAAGCCCTCCCTTTAGGCCAAAAACCGGGCTTTAATACTAACTGCCTGAGTCCTCAGGCACACTGCCTGAATGACTGCTTTTGCCTGTAGCAAACTAAATCTTTGTTTTGACCCACTTTCACTTGTCAGATTTTGATAAAATTTAGCTTTTTGGAAAGCCTATGACATAAGGAAACGGATTGCCCAAGTTTTGAGAAAAAAAAATTGCAAATTTTTTGCAAACAACCTGTCAAAGAAAATTTGCACATTTTTAGTTTTTCTTGATTATAAATCAGGTTATTTAAAATTTTGCAAAAAATTTTGCATATTTGAAATGGCATGGTCAAGGGCTTTTCAAAAATGTATAATTTGTCATTTTTTGGACAAATTTTTTTTTGCAAACATTTTTACTATAAAACTGGATTTTGCGATAAAAAATTCAATTTTCGCAAATTTGCAATTTTTTTTGCAGATTCTAAAAGTAGAGCACAAGAGCTTTCTAATGATGTATCATTTGTCATATTTGGACATAAAAAATGGGATTTAGAGGGGGGGGGTCAAATTGACCCCCCTCCCAGCGTATCCTGGTTTTCAAGTACCCCAGCGGGGATAGGGTTAAATATCATGAATGTCCTAAATATATTTATAAGCAGTGTGGTAATTTCTTACAACCAAATGTATGATGCAATAAATCATAACTCTTGAATCTGCAAGTTCTGATAAGATCACACATCAGGTTATCTCCCTTTATGTGATCAATCATCTTTGCTGTTGGATAACATCATACATCGGGTTATCTCCCTATTTGGGTTTAACCTTTATATAATTACTTGTCCTTGCAATATGATTACATTATACATCGGGTCATCTCCCTATTTTGATCTAACCTTTATATAATTATTTATCTTTGCAATATGATTACAGTATACATCGGGTCATCTCCCTNGATTACATTATACATCGGGTCATCTCCCTATTTTGATCTAACCTTTATATAATTATTTATCTTTGCAATATGATTACATTATACATCGGGTCATCTCCCTATTTTGATCTAACCTTTATATAATTATTTATCTTTGCAATATGATTACAGTATACATCGGGTCATCTCCCTATTTGGATCTAACCTTTATATAATTACTTATCTTATTAACAAATATCTTTAAACGGATTAAACACATTTATTTTCACATATTTTCATAAATGCATATGTAATCACAGAAGGATGATAACTAGATGGTTCAGTAACCAGCCACGGTCCTTTTACATGTTAGGTCCATTAGCTTGATCTCTGAGCACCTTTTCAGTTAGTCTACTGAGTCTGAGGTGCATGACTAGTATATTAGCCAAACCATCAATTAGATCTTTATCTCCTTTATTCCAGGTCTGTTGGTTGACCCGCTCCCGCATCTTCTGGAGCAGGTCTTCAACCTGGTTGCATAACCTGACACTGACATCATTCCTGCCTGATTCAGATTGAAGATTATATTCTCGCTCCCAAGCCTTCCCTGTGTCCCATACATCAATATGTGCGTCCACAGGGGGCTGTTGGGTGCTGGTGTCCCCAGGAGAGGGGGACAGGAGGTCTCTAACCTCCCTATTAAGTTCCTCCAGGCCGTCTAGAACATCCTGCAGTACTTTCACCAGATCCTCTGCATCATCGTCCTCATTTCTATCAAACTGTAACTTTTCTGGCTGTTATTGATGGTAACACAAAAATTGTAATTTAAGTTAACTTTTTATGGATTTTTCATAAATAATACAACAGGAAATATTAAGCAATTAAATTTTCTTGCTTGTTTTAACAACTTAACAAGCAATCGGTGAACATACATTTAATTATCGGAGCTAAGCCCACCTTTGCGGTCCTGGTTTTGACTGTACTGCCTGCTCAGTGGTCATACAGTCTGACTTCAGGCTGCCATTATTTAAGTTTACATTTACTAAAGCGGTAGAGGAACATGATATGTGCATTTTTAAATACATTGGTGAAAATTTTTTTTTCTTGTTAATAAGTTATCAGGTGTTTGATTCTTGTAGGTTTTCTTCAAGATTGTCTTTTTGTAAAAAATTCCATCTGCAATTAAATCTTGTAAATTTTACTAGATGCTGATTACATGGATATTAATGTAACAGGACATTAAAGTTGTAAGTATTCTTTTACCAGTTCATAGCATTCATTTATTAGATGTTGAATCTTCTTGGTAAATATTTACTTTTATTTCTTATTTCCACTTTAATTTCTTACATATTTCTGGATTAGACTTGGATTATACAAACCATTACACTAATAAACAAATGAAATAGTTATCAAATCTCACTTAACCAGAAGAATTGATATTTTGAAAATAAAAACCAATCTTCTTTATAAGGACTTAAAGCATAAATTCAAGGACAATATCTTCCACATCATTGACAAGATAAAGGTATTAAGGGTACCATTGTGAATCAAGCTTTGTCACCTTTGCTTTAATGGTCACTTGACATGACGCTTCAAGTCCTTTTAAGCTTAATTCTTGACCTCACTTTTTTCTACTGGGATAAATCTACATCAGACTAAATCTTTAAATAAAGCTCAACTACTGTATACAGAACTGAAGACATTCTACATCCTTCCTTCAAGCTAAGAAAATTACATGTCTAGTGGCCAAGTGTATAAAGGTTATATAAGTATCTCATTCAATAATTGTTTCCTCTTACATTATCTTATATCAAAGGAATTCTTAAATAATTTGACTTTGTGTCTGAAAATGAAAAAATGTCTTCTCAATATGGATTCTTTCATGTATTCATCACATTTTTCAAATTGTAATTGCTTGTTAGAAATATTCTTTTCTTTTATTATTTGTAAATAATTTAAAAGGTTTCAAGGAAAAGCGAGGGAAAAGAATGGTTTGGATTATTGCAAAATATTTTGTAGAAAAGTCAATTTTTTACAGGTTTTACTTAAAATATAATTTATTTTTATCAATTTTAAATAATTAGCACCCACAGTTTCAATTGGAGTTGCATCTGCAAAGTTTGGCCCTAGTTTCTCATTTTTTATAGAGATCTCCAGATGCAATTGGATTTGCACACACACAGTTCTAGAATCCAATGAAGAATAGAAACAGAAAACTCATTGAACATGGATTTTCATGCTAAAATTGTTATGTATAGTGGGACACATGGTATGGGTAATAAGAGATGTGTATTTCTAAAATTACACAGGGAAAATGAATTGGGGGAAAATATTTAAAAATGTTACATCAAAAGGCAAGTTTTTTCATTCTTTTTGATACCTTTTACCCAGAAAATCATTTATTTTCCCTAACTTAGCAAAATATAAAATCTCATGTATTTAAAGACATGAAAAAGAACACAAAAATTGAAGTTTTTTAGAAAAGCAGCTTTTTTTGTTAAGTTTCTAGAATCGACATGTTTAAACCGAAATAGGGGATTAGAAAATTTGACTTTGTTTCAAAAACTCAATCCCTTTACCCAGCCCTTTGCTTAATTTTGTTTTTTAGGTTTTTTTTTCAAGTTGATTGGATTTTCCTGCGGTAGATTTGGCGGAAGGCCAGGAAGATATTCTTGATACTGATAGTCACTATAATATTTAATTAAACTAGATTTAAATAGAAAAATTACTATTTTTCTATAAAGGGAAAGAGATTCTTTCTTCTATCAGACCCACTTTTTATGTTCCAGAAGTTGTTCAGAATGCAAAAACAACTAGATATTAAAGGCAGGTCCTTGCTTAACCAAGCATTAAATAAATCTAGGCCCTTGGTGCTTCACAGAACTAGGGAAAACATGCTGAAAACTTGTTATGGGAGCAACTATCCAATATTGTCTAATATGATTTGGAAATAATATTTTCAATACAAACTTTGTTTTTTTTGTATAGCTTCATAAGTATATTTGTTAAACAGACTTATAAAAAACGTAGTTTCAAACTTTACTTACCTCCCAATTACTGCATCACATATTTGGGTACATGTTGTAGTTGTTGTTGTTGTAGTAGTGGTAGTTGTAGTTGTTGTTGATGCTGTTTTTGCTGAAAAAGGAGAAATATTTGTTTCTCTGAGTTTGATAGTGCATTTATGCTTTAAACATGATCTCTTTTTTTCATTTTTCAACAATTGGTTGGTTCTTACACCTAAACCCCTACCTCCAACACATTCTGATACACCATCGTCAAAGCGCAAACATCGACCTCCCTAAATGATATTTCAATTATTTTTTGAGTAAAAATCTAAATGATGTATGTAAACGAGAAAAAAAGTGTAAATTAAAAGAGGTAATCCACAGAATGGCTGTAAGTGTTTTCTTACACACTTTCTATCACATGCAGTTGAACACTAATCTTTACTCAGGAGTTTTCACTCAGTTCTTATAAATTTTCTAATGCAATTAAAAGCTAGTTTTTCTGTCTGTTTCAAAATCTTGGGAAATCGACATTAAAAATGTACGTTGCCATTGTGGCACATCATACATTAGCACTAGCAGCGCTCTTAGAAAAACCTAGAACATATAGGCCCATATAGTATTCAAAATTGGTATTTACAGGGAAGTCCTGCAGTTCCCAAAATGAAGTTAAAAATCATGGAATCTTTCACTGATTCCTTCACAAGTCTAAAAAAAGTGTTCTACCTCTTTGCATTGTTTACCAACAGTTCTTGGGTCTCCACAACAAGAGCTCCCAACTGGTTCACATTCACGCTTTATGCCTGGGTTAGAAATTAATCTAAAAAGAGTAAATTGAAAACGAAAATCAGTAATTTTCAATTTCGTAACATCTAGATCAGATTGATATTAACAAAAAATTTGCTATGTATTGGCTAAATGCCTAAATGCCTATTGGTGAGCAAGGTTCGGTTAATGAGAGGCAAAGTTTTGAATGAAAACGTTAATTTTTTAGCATAAGAAAAAAAATTGACATTTGACCTGCCTGTTTGTATTAATTTTACAAACTAGGAATGTTTTCAGACAACAGACATACAACATAGGTTTTAGAAATATAAATTCATTTACACAGTTACCCACAAAAGATGAGACTGTAAAGACGACCAGAAACTCTATAAATTTTACGATCCCAAGGTTGAACTATGTATTCTGCCTTATATATAGTTATCTAATGGCTTTTTAAAGATTTGGCAAACAAAACAAACAAGGTTATATATCGAATAAAGCTTAAACACAGTGTAAATTCTGTACAATCGTCTCTAAAGTTTTAACCTTTAATGATAACCCTGTATTAAATGTATTGTCTTCATATTAAATTACATATTTAATAAAGTACATCAAAATACTTACAGCCCTCATTGATATCTATTTACCTTTACACCTCTTTATCTAAAAGAAACGTTTTCAATATTCTTTATAAAAAAATGGATTTTCAATTTATTCTCTTGTTTACCCTTGCAACACATATTTGTCCTGTTAAGCATACCTCTCCATCAGTATCAGGCTTCCCACATTCTATTTATAAAGCTTTAATGTGTCTATGTGACCCACTTTTGTGTATTCCCAATTTTTGAGCCACAGTGTGCATTGGGATTTGTGAACTGAAGAGAATGAAGATAAATAGTGCCTATTTAGACTATATTTTGTCCCAACCTTTGAAATTTTTAAAGAACAAGAACCATTGAGGTACAGTTAAAATTTAAGCCCAAAACCTTTATAACATGCCTTGCCTAAATAATAGTGTTTCATTTTTTTGAAATGTTTGTGTACAATTGTCTTGTCTTGGTATATCTAGATATAATAATTAAGCTTTTTAACAACCCAGAAATATGATATAAAAGTTTATGTTAAGATATTATCATTTAAATTAAAAATGCATTCTATCCTAATTTTAGCATCTTGCTGTAATATATAGCTATTTAGATACAGCACATCTATAATGAAATTTACCATTCCTTCTTTTAATTAAATTGTTTTACTTGTTATGCGTGGCTCTGAAGAATCTTTCGGCTCAGGAACAAAAACAAGATTACTGCTTTTTCGATTGTTCTTTCTCCTAAAAAAAAACAAGTAACAAGCCTCTCACTTTTGGTCAATAGCTGGGCTTTTACACCCTATGGGATTGAGTCATGTATAGTGCCAGAATGCCTATATCAGATTTATGTCAATTAATTGTGGAAAATCACAAACCATGGCATAATTTGCTGGCGAAAGCACAGTGTCTGAAATTTAGCATTTTTTTGTTAAAGGATAAGGCTGTTGGAATAGGGATAATAATAAATGAATCAATAAAATGAATGTATTTTGCTAAAAAAAATTTGCACTGCCCCTTTCCCAGTGCCGTTTGAGTCTTTGAGTCTTTGACACAAACTCTGATTTTTTAATCCCTATTTCTTTAAAATATGATGAAGTTGCAGACCTTAGATAATTCAAACTATGAATTCTGGTGGATCAAGTAATCTAAGTTTGAAATATGAAAGGTATGAGTCATAAATATTTTGGTATTAGAAAATTTAGATTTGTGTCAAAAACTCAATTCCTTTGATGCTTTGCAAAGAATGAATTTCATTGATCCTCCAAAATAGAAGTTAAAAGAAATGCTCATCTCTCTTATCTCGACCTGAAATTCATGACAAAAATTTAAGAACCTGATTTTTTGAGCATGAATACCTACTGTTATCACTAGTAGGACTATCTGTAAATAAGATATTGTAATTTAAACAAACATTTTTATGATCACATTTCATTGATATACCATTTTTCTAGGAAACATGATTCAGGTAGGCAGCCTGGAACATAAACTAATAATAAAATTCAAATTCATTTTAATTCAATTAGTTATATTAATCAATAATAACCTTATCATAAATATCCAATTTATTATATTATCTTCATTTTAATTTAATTAGTTAAAGAGAGTAGAGGACCCTTAAAAATAGACATGCAAGGCATTATTAGATTAGATTTAATTTCATAATAGTAAAAGGAACTCTTATTAAAATAACAAATTGAATTTACTAATTCATAGTAAACAGCCAAATTAAATTAGAACTGAATAATTTAAAAATAAAGAGCGATATGGACCTTGAACAAGAGATGAATGAATCCAACTCTTTTTGTAAATAAAAAAAATAAACATAATTGAGAATCATTTCTACAGTCACCACCAATTTCCAAGCAAAAATAACCTACAAAGTCGTTTTGCTCTTGGTTTTGTTTTTGATTTTTTAAAAATAACAAACCTCTGTTAAAAAAGTTAAAAATAACATTTTTTTCCAGTTAGAGATATTTTATATCAAACCCAACTGGTACAGAATACTAGTTAAATACTAGTTCATAAAAAGTTTACTTTAAAGGCTGACTAAATGTTGGAAATACAACGACTTTTGATAAGAGGCGTTTTCAGGGGGGGAGGGCTATTGGGGCTAAGCCTGGACCATGTGAAATCTATTGATTTCAGGTGGGTTTCAGGTCCCAAGGGATGCTGAGCCCCCTGGAAAGAAAACAAAGTTTAAGACCCCCCCCCCCTGGACAAAGTTTTTGCCAAGTATGAACTGGGAACATGATTTGATATGTTGAGAATACTTCAGATTTCAAATTTAGTTCAGGACTTGAAACATACATGATACAAATACATCTATCCAAATTTATTTAGGAGTGTCAATTTACACATTGTCAAGGAAAAAGGAAGTTTTACTTTAAAGGACATGTTCCAAATATTAGAGGATTTTTTCTACAATTTTTCTAGAAATAACTGAGTCAGTAAGATATTTTCCGAATCTTCATATGGCAACTGGAATTGTTTAAATTTTTAATTTGAAAGCTTCAAAGACCTACAGTTTACCTCAGAGATTTTGCGACATCGAAAGAATTTATGAAGTGTTGTCTTGACAATTTTTAATGGGCAAAAAGGTAAATCTCAAATATTGCAAAAGTAATAAATAGCCATGAATATTCAGAACGGTTTTAAAGATCTCCATGCAATCAGTTAATGACATAACTGAACATCTGCATCATTCCAATATCAGAAAGTTAGGAATACAACATTTTCTTCCGATGTATTTGAACTTAGGTGTACAATGTTATTCTATACTCAATATTAAATAAATATAGTTGGAAAATAATAATAGAAATGAAATGGAAACTTCTCTATGATTTATTTAGATTTTATATTCATGTTTCAATATAAAAAAATTTCCATGCTGATTGCATGTCAAAATTATTTTGAACCTGAAGTAGGTTATACCAAGTAAGTAATATTATCTACAGGTAATCTGCTTCCATAATTCCAATTGCAATATCACAACCCCTAGGAATTCATCTTTTTTTGATGTCAAAGATATTGCAAACATTGAATTAAGGATTTAGGAATTGCTAAAAATGACCTCCATCATATCATACCTGATTTTCTTTAGATTTTAGATGTACTTTATTTCCTTTATTCTCGATTTTTAAAAAGTAGCTTCAACTGTTTTGAGTTATTTTTTTTTACTAACATACAATATGGATTTTGGCCTGTACAATTTCAGTTATATACATTTGGATAGGGTTATTAATCCTTTTTGAAAACAGTCAAAAATCAATTTTTATTTGTATCATTTTCAACATTTTCAAAAACAATTGTTTCGTTTTTGGAATATAGCAATCATTTTTGAAAATGACCCACTTGTTTTGAACTTTTAGAAAATGAATAATTTTAAAAACTATCATTTTCATGAAAACGATAAGCAACTATTTGTTTACAATTGTTTTTTCAAAAACAATTGTTAACAAAACGACAAACTGTATAAGAATTTGATTGATGATTAGCCAAAGATTACCCTGATCAGGATACTGTTATATATATCTAGGATTGCTTGAATGAATTGAAATAACGCCTTCAATTCCTTTAACTAATTTTATTCACAGAAAAAAAAAATTAATAGAAATATGATATATATATGATAAGTATTCTTATTTTATATAATTTATATAATTAGAACGAATTTGAAATTTACTATTAGTCTAGGTTCAGAATACCTTGTTGAATTATGATCAGAAAATTGGTAATTGTATCAAAGGATTAACCTATAGATAGGGTTGTTAATTGTTTTTGTAAACGATCGTTAAACAATCATTTTTTGTTTCTTTTTCAAAAATGATTGTTTCGTTTTCGGAAAAAAAACAATTGTTTTTAAAAACGACCCACTCGTTTTGAACTTATAGAAAATGAAAACGATCGTTTTTGAAAACGATTGTTTTTTAAAAAACGATCGTTTTGAAAAAAAAATTTTATTGACAATTATTTAACAATTATTAACAAAGGGTCTTTGTTAAGGATCGTTAACAAAGGTCATCGTTAACGATCATTAAGGAAGGGTTGTCGTTAAGGATTGTTAACGAAACGACAAACTTTATCAAAACGATCGATTTGGAAAAAAATTACATGCAACTTTATTAAATGTCGTCTTACATGAAGTTTAAAAGTTGTGGGGGAGTTAAAACTCCTTGATATTTTCTTAAAAACTACTTAATGAAAAGTACAGATATTCAGGTCGGTTTCCTCTCTTCGTTAAAGATTGTCAAAGAAGGGTTGTTGTTAACGATCATTAACGAAGGGTCGTCGTTAACGATCGTTAAAGAAACAACGAATTTTATAAAAAAAACGATCGTTTTAAAAACGACAATTTTTAAAAAATCAACTTTTTAAAAAAAACGATGGGTTTTAAAAACGATCGTTTCGTTTTCAATTTTTCGTCGTCGTTTTCATAATGAAACGATCGTTTTTTCTTAAAAATGAAAACGTTAACATCCCTACCTACCTATAAATAGATGTTTGTTTATCTTATAAAAACATTCAGATATTTCTACTAGTGATAACAGTGTCTTCCGATGCTCAAAGAACCAGGTTTGAAAATGTTTAAATGGGTTTTGGGTAGAGAAGGGCTTAATGTTAGACATATTTTTTCAAGTTGGTTTTAAACAATCCTAAGGCTAAATATAATTGTTAACATATTTTTTTTTTAATGACAATTTTGTATGACCTCCCTTGTACCCAAACCATTAATGTTTTCAGTTTTTTTTAATGAGATGAAGATGAAAAATTGGGCTGTGGACATGAATTTCAAATATAAACCTTTACTCTAAGTCCTCTATGGGCCTTGTTCTAGGGGGGGGCATCACAAAACAAAACAATTGCTTTTCATGTTCAGAAAAAAAAATCGTTTTTAGAAAAAAAGTTCATAAAAAATGATAATTTTTCGTTGTTTAAAAAAGGTCGTTTTTAAAAACGATCATTTTTAGAATGAATTTTCATTAACAACCATCAAAGAAGACCCATTTATTAACAATAGTTTCCTTATAAAAAAAATACATTTTTTGGTCAGAAAATCAGAGGTCAGAAAAAATTCAGTTTATTTGTTTTGATAAAAAACCTTAAAGTCAACATTTATAACCTTATATTGTCTTTGTCATAAAACTCAGATTCAAAAGTGAATTTAAAAACGATTGTTTCAAAAAAAACAATAGTTCAAGACGAGTGATTGTTTTTCAAAAACAATGATATTTTCCAAAAATCAAACCATCATTTTTAGAAAAAAAAAACGAAAAAAAATAGCATGAACAATTTAAAAATCTTCGAACAAATTTTTACTCTACAAACAAATTTTCAAAAGATTTGGGAAAAAAAAAAAAAAAAACGATCAATTTAAAAATGATTTATAACCATCCAAGGATGCCCCCCACACTATACAAAGATGCGGATCCCCCAGTCCTTACAGTGTTAATTATGCAACCAAGTTTGCTATTAACATGAATAGAACCTGTACCATATATACTTATTTACCTGAACATGGTTTCCCACAAAGTAAGAGACTTTAGAAGTGAATGTACAAATGTAGTATAAACTTGGTAAGAAACTCACGTATAAAGGACTCAATAAAGGAAACTTTACAAAGAGAAACTCAATATAACAAGCCAGGTTGAATCGATTAAAGCACTAACTTTGTACAAAACTGAGGATCAACCGAAGTTAATCCTGGAATCATAGATGAAGATAATTCTCCTCCTGGAGCTACTGGAGATTTTATCGACCCTTCTCTTCTGATCCTTCATCAAGACTCACCCTCTTCCGGGGCACAAAATGGACGTTCAGTTTGCTTTCTCTGCCGACGAAAGCACCGTTATCCATGCTCTCTAGATAAGGGTCACTAGGGTTTGAATCTCGGCCCTGTGGAAAATTCCTTCCCATGTTGGTAACAGATGCAAAGTAACGGGTTTAATTTATTTGTTATTCGTTTTCAGTCCTCAACTGACGATAAGACTTGGCTTGGGTTGAATGAACTAGGATACGGTCTCCAACATAAATACATCTTTGGATGGGTTTACAGTAGACTTTTTCTTTGACTTTTTTAAAGTATATGAATCACCTGCATTACTTTGAACAACAGATCAATTGACATGCTTAAATTCCTTACATTTCAATTTTTAGGCAGTACTATCTCCTTCTTTGAGGTTAACCCTGTACTGTGCCATTCAGATGTAGAATGGTATTATATATGAATGAAATGTATTAACATGTATTAGAGGTAGTAGTTGACATGATGGGCATCTTAGACAATTCCAAATTTTATGTTTTGCTATCATTGTTTATGAGGCTAAATTTCAATTGTTGAAATAAGAACTATTCAACACATTTAGCCATTCTTGCAGGAGGAGAAAGAATAACCGAAGAAATGATAATCTAGTTTTTGTGGCTAAACCAGAGAATTCAACAGAACACATAATAAGTAAATCTATACTTTTCTCTTCACTTAAAAATTTACAGATAGCTAAGTAATTTATAGAACTACACATACCTCTAGTTAAACATGTGCATTTAATTACCATAAGCTATGTGGCAATCTCTATTAAACCTGTGGCTTAGTGTAAAAAGCAAGTATTTTCAACTTGTACCATGAAAATTGTGTCTTAGTGAACTCTTTTACAGTTAGTGCCTGTTCTAAATCCTACATTCAGCAGACTACTATTCTAAAAGCTAGCAAATCAAACAATTTGATGTCATAATGTTTTAGAAAATGTATTATCCCAAATATAATTTTTAATGAAGAATTACTTTTACTTGTTATCATTTTTCGAAATAAGTTGACATATGCCATTTCACACAGAACAAAAAAAAAATTTGTAAAATGTTGTTTTCTTAGAATACTGATAATGAGATGCTGGAGATATTTATATTATTTAAATTAAATATTCAAATGGAGCTCTTTCATGGCTATTTATTTTTTTTACAATTACTGATATTTAGGTTAAAAACTGTCGGCATTTAAAAACCAGGATTTAAACTGTTTTTTTAAATAGGGTGTGGGAAGCCTGGTACTAATGGTGAGGTATGCTTAACAGGACAAATATGTGTTGCAGATGTAAAGAGATGTAAAGGTAAAAAGTTACAGAGAAGCAGTGTGCTACCAGTAAGTAAACACATGTAGCATTATCTGCTGCCATGATTAGTACAATCTTTATTATCTATGTTTCGTTATTTATTTTATCTTTGTTGATGTTGACCCTGACCGGCCAGTCTGGTCAGCTATTTTCACCTGTATTAATAAAGTAGTAATGTATGAAACGTTGATTTAAACTGACCTGTACAGAGCCTTGAGTTTTGGCTAGAGATAGAGTCAGAGAGACTAAATAAGAAAAAGAGTCGAGTAATCTCAGGACCTAGATTTATTACAAAAGTGGTGGCAGCAGTGGGATCTTCTATGAACCCGATCTAGATGCCCGAGACTCCGAAAGTATTCCGGAAAAAGAGTAAAGTGAAAACCTGGTTTCAGGGATTAGCCAGGGAAGTTTTAACAGGAGAAGATTTGCCTGTGAGTGGATCAAGAGTGGCTACAGGAAATACAGTGGCTACTTTTCAAGGATATCCGAGTTTACCCAGTGACGATTCTAGATTGGAAGTAGAGATGGAGGGACCATCTCACCCAGTGATGGATGGCCTAGAGGAGATGAGGCAACAGTTTCAGCAGCTCCAAGCCCAGCTAGCGGCAACTAATCGGGAACTGGCAAATATCAAGCAGAAGGATAAGGATCAAGCATTCGCCAAAACAAGGCAAGTGGAAGCTACGCCAGAGACACAGGATCCTATCGGTAGAGTAGTTGCTGTGTTAGAACGCCCTAAGGTAGAGGATTCGCAAGAGCACTATGTGTCATTGCTGAAGTCGTTGAAGGCTGGTAAAGCTGCTATGCAGACACATAGAGAGCTGAGCAAGGCGGAAGCCGATTACAAAAAGAAACTGAGGGATTTTAGCTGTGGTGCTCCACCATATGATGGTAACCCTAGCAAAGTGTTTGACTGGTGTGGTGAATTGGAGAAACATCTGTCAAGGTTTAAGTGTGAGACAATTCCCAACGAGACTGTAAAGAGGATGCTGCTAGACTGTATAACGGGGAAGGCTCAGTCGGAGATAGTATTGTTGAAACCTGATGGATTAGTTTTCGACAACTACGAGATTGGTGAGTTCTTTCAAGAATTATTGAAGAAGTTCACTCATGAGAAGGACGAAGAGGGCAGGAAGATGGAATACATGGCCAGGAGACACCCCAGGAACAAGGATAATTGACAGTATTACACGGACAAGCTGAGATTATTTGTGCAAGCCTACCCTCCAGCTAGGAGAAGTTTAGTTGAGTTCAAGAATCATATGTTGTTAGGGTTATACAACTCGGAGCGGAGGAAAACCTGCCTGCTATTTATGCCTAAAGAGATTAAGCATGAGAGGGAGATTAAGGCAGTCCTGGACCACCAGTTAGTGAACCTGAGGACTTATAACTTGGACCCCGGGGCTCCAGCCCAGGATATGGCGGGATTGCAGAGTACATACGGGTATGATAAGAGTGAGATAAGGAAGGCCCATGAGATGTTGAAGACAGGACAGGTGCCCATGGACGTCAACGCCATGCCAGGATTGGTTGAGGACGTGTCGGATGCTGAAAATTTAGATGCTGAGAGCGGGATAAATACCCTACAGAGTGGATATACGTGTTATTTTTGGAAGAAAACTGGACACCAGAAGAGGGATTGCAGGAAGTTCTAGGAATGGAAGATGAAAAACCCTCACAAGAAACCCGGGGTTAACCCTCGTAGTGTTAATTCCTGCCCCTCAATTTTGTGTTACAACTGCGGGAAAGAGGGTCATATTTCTCGAGAATGTAGAGAACGGAGAAACCAGGGAAGGTGAGGGAATGGCGGTTCTGGAGGCGGACAAATTGCAGATATGGCTAAATCCATGGCAGCGATGCAGGAAGTCCTGAAGAAACTGGTACCAGAGGCGTTTTTCCCTAGGGAGTTGCGATGATGAACGGTCGTCAACTCCTAAGATTGCAGAAAATAATGATGTGAATGTATTTAATAATCGTTTAATAAACATTTCTGTTAATCCTAATGTCCATGATTTGTGTAAGTTAGTACTGGAAGTGAATAAGGAAGTTAGGACGGAAGTATTGGATAATATAAACAATGTTATGAAGGTACATAATGACTTTATAATCTGGAAGTGAGAGGTAGTTTTAGACCTAACGGAAGTAAGGATATAGAACTTCGAGAATGGGAAAAGAATATCCTCATGTATCTGAACAATTATAATTTTGTTGAAAGGGACCGTAAAACCTTGTATGTGAAGTTCAAGTTATTTAAACAAGATATATACTGGTTAGCTCTAGTGGATACAGGCAATTTAGTGAAAGGTACTGTAGTCTAAAGTGAGTTTTGGAAGATGATAGGGGGAAAAATGTCCGAGGAAAGTAATCCTAGAGTACACACGGCAGAGAAATGAGGAAAAGGTCTGAAGGTATTGGGTAAAGGAGAGAAGATTAAGTTTTACTTGGATGGCCTGGATCGTTGATTTGAAGTAGAGCCGATTGTGATAGAAGGCCTGAATCATGCAGTAAACTTTGGAATAGAGTTTTTTCGACAGCAGGAAGTGTCTATAGCCTGTACGGAGAAAGAAGTGAAACTAGTTACCGGAAGTAAGGGGCAGGAAAGGTTAACAAGACTGTGCAGTGCCTATGGGAAACCTTTCCCTTTCATGATTAAAGGCAGAAGAGTGGATAAGGAAACCAAGAATTATGTACAAGTACTTCCAGCTGTGTGGAAAGCAGAGAGAAGGGAACCGGCAGTAAACAGCATTAGTCCAGTGGAGGAAGTGTTAGAGAGGAAGTTATGGTCTGCTGAGAAGATAACTATCCCTGCTGGAAGTGCAAAACTAGTCAAGGCGAGAACAGGATGTAATTGGAAGTGGGCTGGTGTGGTAGAATCGTTGCCTTTAGAAGATCAGGAAAAGGGGAGAAAAATTCTAGTTCCGGAAAATGCATTTGACCTGTCAGGAAGTGTACAAGCAGTGTATGTGGAGAACCATGCAGAGGAATGTGTAAAGTTGTGTGTGGGACAGAAGCTGGGCACAATACATAGTATGTGCATAGATAAACAGACTTGGATTAAGGAGGAACTAAGGGGCAGCACAGCACAGGATTTAGACGAGGAGGAAGTGTGCAATTCTCAGGAATCTGTTAACTCCCTGCAGGAGTAGGATTTCCCAACAGAACAGAGCAGAAGGAAGTTTATCAAGGATAGTTTCAAGATAGAGGAGAACGAGATTCTGAACAGAGATGCAAAGCTGAAAGAGGAAGTGATCAAACTTTTCTTGGAAAACTTTTCTACGTTAGCCCTTCATCCTAATCATTATGGCAAAACAGATTTACTGGAGCTGCGAATAGAATTACAACCAGGGGCAGTACCTAAGAGATATAAGGTGAGGCCATTGAACCCTGACCAGCGTGCAAACTTGATGGAACAATTGGATGACTGGATCCAACAGGGAATTATAGAACCTGCAAACAGTCCCTGGGCATCGCCACTAATTCCTGTGAAGAAAGAGGATGGGAGGACAAGATGGGTGACTGACCTGAGGCAGCTGAATGACGTCACCATCAAGGATGCTTACCCTCTGACGAACATCCAGGAGAACCTGCAGAAGCTGAAGGGGGCCAAGATCTTCACTTCAATTGACACCTGTTGTGCATATCATGCCATCCAGATAGAAGAAGGGAGCTTTGACACATTTCATTATATAAGGATGCCATTTGGATTGTCAAATGCCGGAAGTGTCTACAGCCAGATGTTGGACCTAGCCCTGGCACACATACCTGTGGAGTACTGGTTGTCCTACCTGGATGACACCCTGGTGTACTTCATGGACACCTGGGATCACCTTAAGCATCTGATGAGTATAGTGGAGGCTCATACAAAGGCAAAGATCAAGATTCAACCTAAGAAGACCAAGATATTCCAGACAGAAACCAAATATTTAGGACATAAAGTGAGTCAGGGTGGAGTACATTTATGTTGGATCAATATGTGAAAGATATACAGAGCTGGCCAGTTGCAAGGAAATGTCGTCATTCCTGGGGTTCACGGGTTACTACAGAGGTTTCATTCCAAGGTACTTGGCTTTGACCAACAGGATGAATAGTCTTAAGAAGGCTGAGAAATTTGTGTGGACTGAAGATATGGAGAAGGATTTTGTGGAGTTGAAGGCGGAGTTTTCAGCAGGGCGTATACAGGCTTATCCAGACTTTGATTCAGATGAACCATTTATTCTTACGACGGACTGGTCGTCTCTAAACATTGCAGGGGTTCTGTCTCAGAAACAAGAGGGAGTAGAGCGTTTCCCAGGCTGTTGGGGGCGGAAGTGTAATTGTTATGAGAGGCACTATTCCAGTGCCAAGGGTGAGCTCCTTGCCCTGGTGAAGTGTATGAAGAAGTGGGAACATATTCTGAAGTACCGACCCCCCTTTCTAGTCTATACTGATGCTGCTAGCTTGAAGTATATCGTGAATCTGAAGTCATAGGAAACTATTTTTCAATACTGGTACGAGGAGCTGGCTAATTTGAATTCATTGTGATACATAAGAAGGGAAGTGAGAATGTTGATGCAGATGCTTTGAATTCATTGTGATACATAAGAAGGGAAGTGAGAATGTTGATGCAGATGCTTTGTCCGGAGCCAAACATTTGGATGAACCAACAGAAGAAGGCAATGAAGAATATCAAGAAGCCAAGAAGTAGGAGAGATGAAGATAACTTTGCATCAGAGCTAGACAGAAACCCTGTGGAAATAGGACGAGAGGCGGAAGTTTGCCGGATATCCGCCTCTCTCAAGATTCTCAAGACCATGCTTACATTGATTCTACTTCTTGATTTGGTTATGAAGGCTGAGGGGATCATGGACTGGAGGGAATCTCCATTCTCTATGCAGGCGTTCGACTGCACCACGCCCCACGATGATCAACAAGCTGCAACTGCCCGAGGACTGTTTCATCCTGAAGAAGAAGATGGCCGAGAAGCTAGCGGTAACGCATGATGCCTGGATCCTAGGTGAGGAATATGTCCATGAATTTTCCCGTGTGGTTTGTACTGCAACTATCTCCCGTTTTAGGGGATATTGTGGTGCTTACTCACACTGTAAATTTATGGACGTACTGCAAGTAGAGTCAGAGGAGCCTGAGACTCTGGAACAATGTGTGGTTGCGAAGAAGGGCTTCTATAACTCTCCTGATGGCAAGAAGGTGAAGATCTCCCCTGGTGAAACCATCCTCTATCGATATGTAGAGTATGGTTCTATCACCATGCACCCCACCAATACCTATTGCCAGGGTGTGTCCCTTCCCTTACATAAAGGCACCCTGGCGGATCAGTCCTTGGTCCTTACCCAGATCTGATTTTCCATCCTACGTGAAGTTTACATCAGATCGAAAGGAGGGAAGACAGCTGCAAAGTTCTCCAGAATTGCTCTCCCATCGGACTGTAACAGGCAGTGGTGCCTTGATGGGCCCAAAGTCTACCTGCTGGAAAAGCAAACACAATCCTGTCCTTATAAGAGGATTCATACCGCCAGCCTGAGATCAGAAGGAACCAATATGATAATCTTGGAGGACCTTGCCATGTTGTTCAACACCACAAAGAAGAAGGTCCTCACATTGCCTGGTTGTCCTCAGTTAACCTTGTATCATACTACTCTGGACACTGTATACCTTACCTTTGACAAGAGAGCTGCTGGCCTACCTGAGATTGTGAGTAGAGATGTGAGAAGCGACCAGGACCTGCTCCCTACCCTCAAGTACCTGGAGCATCAGAATCCCTTGGCCCTGAGTGACCTCAAGGACCAGGTTGAACGTGGCGGATGTTCTACCTGGTTGAATATTAAAAATGATCAAGATTATCTTCATCCCATGCGTCGTGAGCCTGGACTATTCGTGCCCAGGACCAGAGAAATCATACATGAGTACCACTGCAGGATGGTTGAGGTTCCAATTGCAGAAGCTCCAATCTGCATGCACGGAGATCCAGTCCTAGTACGTGGGGGAAAGTTCATGGCGAATCTGGACTCCCGTGTAATTACTCCCCACATTTCAGAGCAGCCCTGTAATGACAGGTACCCCACCCTGCTGCAGTCTACTTTCTCTGGTTTGATATCAGTATCAACACGGGTAATCCAGGTGGAGGCTCCAGCTCCGATGAAAGTGTCCAGCTCCTATAAGCCTATTGAAACCCTTGCAACACTCTATACTATGGAGGAATTAAAGAACTGGGAGAGTTACCAGTGATTACCCTCATTCCAACACTCCCAACACCAACAGTTACTCAACGATCTCTGTGATGAAGACTCCTGTGCATATGGAGGTTGCAGTACCATGGCTGGAATGAACCTCGAGGATCTCAAGAAACATATTCAAGAAGGAAGCAAAGCAGTGTTTGCCTCAATCAACCCCTTTGGACCTATGTTCCGCAAAAACGAGCACCTGAAAACCTTCTTGAGTACTATGTTGTTAATTGAGTACAGTATGCTAACTATATCAGTAGTGATCAGTGGGTGCGTTGATCACGAGACTCACCCTCAATTGGGCTCGTTTAAAGAATAAGAAGAGACTTGAACCAAACCTATCCAACTTGAGCCCCTGATGTCTAGTGCTGGGGACGTATGATGACTGAGAGATTGTTAGAATTGCATTGAACAAAAGCTCTCATCACCTTTCCTTGGGGCATTTGTAGCATTATCTGCTGCCATGATTAGTACATCTTTATTATCTATGTTTCGTTATCTATTTATCTTTGTTGATGTTGACCCTGACCGGCCAGTCTGGTCAGCTATTTTCACCTGTATTAATAAAGTAGTAATGTATGAAACGTTGATTTAAACGGACGTGTACAGAGCCTTGAGTTTTGGCTAGAGATAGAGTCAGAGAGACTAAATAAGAATAAGAGTCCAGTAATCTCGGGACCTAGATTTATTACGCACATTAGGTTTAATTCAAGATCATTTTTCCAAACCCTATGTTATATGTCCTAACCAGTTTGTACATTGCTGGTTTGTTAAAGTTATGTAAAATTCTGGCCTAACATGTATTCATTTTTAAGTTTAATAAAGTTCAGTAAAGTTCTTGTTAGCTCATTTTGACAATTCTCTTTTTAGGAGAGACATTTTAAAATTCTTTTTCATATTGTCCAGCTCTGCACTTAAATATTAATATTCAAATTGGAAAAAAATACTTTAATTATTATTAGTAGGATTATGCAAGTGAAATGAAGCAAACATTTCTAATCAACTAATTTAATGAAGGGCTAAGGGTTCTGATCTGTTTATTAAAGGGACTGTAAAGGAAAAATGAAAGGGGGTATAGGCTGAAAGCTAATCCCTTTAGCTCTTGATCGTGACCCATGATAGTTTTATCTGATGTTCCTGTCTCGAGAAATTGATACAAAACTGTATTAAAATTACACGAAAATTCATATATGTAAAATATAGAAAATCTTAAACTTAAATCACATGACCAGAACTATCACCAATGGCAGAGCAGTATACTGGTCGTGTCTCCGCCTGTATCACGTGACCACTTTACTGCACTGCGATTGATGGAATTTCTGGTCAAGCAATACGGACGTATAAATAATATTATGAATTAAATCTATAAAAAAATAGAAATAACAAATATAAAATTAGAATTGGAGTAAGCCTAAGTTTTAATTAGCTTTCTCTGGGATAAAATCGTTTTCAGATTGGTTGCATATTTGCTGAATTTGATCTATTTAAACCCACTACTTTTAAACAAAATTTTATATATATTAATTTTCGTATAAATTTGACAAAGTTGTAACTCAGTTTCTCGAGATAGGAACATCAGATATAACTTTCATGGGTCGAGATCGAGAGCTAAAGTGATTAGCTTTCAGCCTATACCCCCTTTCATTTTTCCTTTACAGTCCCTTCAAGAAAAAAATCAAGATAGGTTTTCATTGCCAACCAAATGTTCTACTAATTTTTAATTTTAATACATTTATTTTTAAATCGAGGGTTAAAGGCTGAATGTGAACCAGTTGGAAACTCTTGTTGCGGAGATAGAAGAACTGTTGGAAAAAAATGCAAGGAGGTTAGACTTATGCTCAGTTTGTTCAGCCTTTAAGAGTAGGTACTGATACATGCATGAACTACTGAGTGCAGTCTCAAATTATCAAGTATATGTCAGCTGGTTTAATGCTAGGGATATTGAACTACATTTGAGTCCTGGAAGACCAATAGATTGAATAGACACAGAGTGGACCAATATCCAGCTGACTAGGGACAGGGGCGTACGAGGGCTTTTGTTTAGGGGGGGGGGGGGACAATTTGCGCGTGTAAGCACGCAAAAAAAAATGTTTGGTCCCCCCCTTGGCAACATTGGTCCCCCCCCCCTTAAAAACCCCTTTTTTGAAAAAATATTAATACCTTTTTTAAATTTTTTTTGCCCCCCCTCTCCCACCTGGACTTATTTTGTTCACCATAAAAATACACCGAAAAGACTACTTTTTTGGGTGTTACTAACCTTAGAGTCTAAAAATTATTCCTTTGCTTGAAAAACTAACTTTTTGACTTTATAAATTTATCACTTAACTCCATCACAGCTAACTAAATCAATAATCACAGCATCATTAAAAATTATATTTTTAGGAATAAACTAAATTTCTTCTGAAATTTTTAGATAGAATTTACTCAATCTACATTTTAACCGAATCTTTTAAGCTACAATTTTCTGGGATTTGCTTGCACAAACATTTCAATGATTTTTTTCAGTAGAGAGCTCAGACAGCCTTATAGGGTGTAAAGCTATAAGTGCAAGATCGTTAAGTCTGCTCTCCGTCATAGTACATCTTGTGTAAAGAAATATTCTCTTTAGAAGGCTAAAATTTTTCTCTCCTTGTATTAACAGTGAATTTAGACAAATCCTTAGTCTTTGTCATTGTCAGGTGTTACTTTCTAAACGTAGTTTCCTTTTAATTTTGTATTTTTGGAACTCCCAGGGGGGGCAAGAGAACTACTGCCCCCCCTAGGTACACCACTGTACCTGACCTGAGGAAGGAAATGCAAGCAGATGTAATATTAAAAGAGCCTCCCCCATGGATGCCCCCCCTCAGCCTCTCAGGAAGGGCACGCGTAGAGGGGGGCGGGGGAGCGAGTCCCCCCCTTGTACGCCCCTGACTAGGGACCACAAACAACTTATTTAGCCCTATTAAGGCTGGGGGATCTGAATCTATGTAAAGCCTGGGGGGAGGGAGCGTTTGGTACCCCCCCCCCCTATATCACAGCCCAATTTTTCAAGGCCAGCTCATAGAAAAAAAATTAGACCGATAACTTTAATAGTTTGGCTGCTAGAGAAGGTTGAAAAAATGCTTAAAAAAGGGTGAAAAAAATGAAAAACATATTTTTTTCTTTTATACAAATATCAAAGTGTGACACATGTTTCTACATGCATTTTTCAAGGGCTTTTCAAAAATATAGTTTTTAGATCTGTAGCTTTAATCACAAAAAAGTTTTAGGCTATTTTAGATTTTTTTCACAGACCAGACTTTTTTTTCTGCCCTGTACCCTACCCTATATGTTAAAAAAAAATAGTTTTTTGCCAAAAAATCCTTTAAATTACTATTTATTAAAAGTCACAACATTCACGGTGATAGTGTCAAAAATGAAAGTGCTAGGACAAAAAAACTACAAAGGGGACCCCCCCCCCCCGCTGTTTAGGGTTAAGGGCATGCTGGGCTGCCAAATTGTGTGTGACAATCTTAGAGATCAGGAGGAGGACGTCATTGTGGTTGAAAGAAGTTAATTTTAATAAAATATGTTCAAACTATTCACAATTATTGAATATTCAAAATGATTTAAATCAGATGTCTGTATTGGTTTTTATTTAAAAGAACATGCAAATTGTTTTTAAAGTTTCCAACTTTATTATGCTGTAAGTACTGATAATGTATTAGTTGCATGCACAATTTTTACTGCAGTTTTGCAAGATTGTGAAAAAGAATGGGGGTCTTATTTATATAAAATGTGAAAGAACTTAGTGTAAACAGCTGATCTACAGCTCTGCTGTGTTTAGACTTTTGTGTGGCCAAGTGAGAGAGCCAGAAATATATAAGAAAAACATAATTAGAGCCATCATTCTTTTCAGGACACATATACTTGTAGTAGAGTCGAGTTTAATGAATTTGAGCTGTGTCTCAAATCCACCTAAAACCGGTTTCAATTGAGAGCCGACTTAAATCTTGAAACATTAAATGCAATTTTAAGTGGAACAAACCATATCTGAGCCGAGTCTCAAATTTAAGTTGCTGCTCAAATTCTTTAAATTCGGCCACAAAAGTCTTTAATTAACTAAGAGAATACCATGCACTGTTTAAACATTCTGTGTGAATTTCAGTTTACCTAGTTGATATCACGAAACAAAAATCATTTACAAAGAAGATATAGGATTTTTGATTGTGACTCAATTTTCATGTCTATTGTAGTCTGTAGATTAATCAATAATTAAAATGTTATTAGGGTGGTCGATGTGTGCGCTTTTTTGATGGTGTATCAGAATGTGTTGGAGGTAGGAGTTTAGATTTTTTGGTTAAAAATAAAGATTTAATTTAATTTTACTAAAATTAAATCAAAATATGGGTGTGGTATCAGTTTGCCCAATCATGTTTCACCTAATAACGTTTCATCTAAAACGTTTCAGCCAATAATGTTTCACCCAATACAGGGTTTCACCCAATCTATATTTCACTTAAATACTAGCTATGTTCACCCAAATTATATTTCACCCAATTCATGTTTAGCCCAAACTACGCTTGCTTAAGAGTTTCACCCCCCCCAAAGAAATTTTATTTGAAATTATAACAATTAAATTTTTGAATCTATAAAAGTTGTATAAATAAGGATGCAGTTGATATTCTATTCTAGTACTGCTCAAGTAAGGCATCTTCTCAGGGGCCAAACATAAACCCCTAGCCCATTCTAGCTGCAGGCCTAGGCCCAGAAATTCTCTTAACCTAACCTAACCCAAAATAAGGTGAGATACTATACATATTACTTAACATTTAAGAACCCATAAATTGTCTTAACCTAACCTAACCCAAATAAGATGAGAGACAGAATATTACTTAACATTTAAGAGGCCTCAGCGCTCAGCCCCTAGCCCATACTAGCCGCAGGGGTTTATGAGTTATGATCAGAAATTGGGCAATAATTTCTTGTGCAAAAATTGGATGAAAATCTTAAATAAGTGTAGTTTGGGCGAAACTTGAGTTGGGTGAAAAATAATTTGGGTGAAATGTAGTATTGTGTAAGACATGAATTGGGTAAAAAGTTATTGGGTGAAACTTTATTTTACCTAAAATTGGGTGACACATTTTGGGTGAAACATTATTGGGTGAATTATGTTCTACTAACATATAAAAATGGCACATGTTAAGAGTTAAAATGTAAAATAAAGCCAGAGTAAAATAATTACTTCACATTTGTAGCAAAAACTACAATAACTACAACAACAACAACCACTACAACTACAACAACTACCCCGTCATGTATCCAGTTATGTACTGCAGTAAGTTGCTAACTTCAGATTAATTACTTTCTCATTATAATTTTAACAAAATTTCTAATTTAAAATGAATGTCAAACAAGTCTTGAAGCTTTAAAAACTGACAAAAACCATTTTTATAAATATATATTATTTTGTGATAATTGTGATAATAAGGTTTTGTAATGTGTTACAGAGCCCAATGGATTTGGATACTCTTTAAATCTAGTTTAATTTAGTATGTTCAAAGCGGCTTTAAGGGTCCAAGACCACCTCAGGAAAATACAATAAACTTTAATTTCAATCAAAAGCATTAATATCATACATAAAGTTAGTCCCACTAAACATAGAAGTTAAAGGAAGAGACCGGCTAGACATGGTATTTGAGCTGAAATAACTTTAGGATTAATTTGATACCAATGAGACAGTTTTGCAGTGTGAAATTTTAAATATGAGCTAAAGTGGATTGTAATATTTTACTATTTGTTTCAATCAACAAAAGAATCGTTATTTTTTACAATTTTTAAATAACATTGACAAAACGAGTAACAAAAAATATTGTTCAAACTAGTTGCATGTTTAAAAACAGGATCGAGAAAAATAATGAACTTATAACATTGAAAATAATTCATTGAAAATAATTCATTGAAAATAATTCATTGAAAATAATTCTTTTTAATATTTTGCAGGTTTGTGAAATTCTTTCAGCTAGGGTTGTTTGTTGGAGGTTTTTTATTTTCATTGTGAAGACACCTCATTATAAAGAATCTGTGAATAATTATAGAAACAGCCAAGGTAATGAAGATAATGATATAATCGATTCTACAGTTCTGCTATGGCTTTCATTGGTAATTTTTTTTGAAGAAATTATTCTTTCAAATATTTTTTTAATGTTTTGTCCATGTTATAAAATAATTGTAAAAGAACTTTCTTCTGCTGACTGAAACAACTGGTGAAATATTACTAACAACTTTACGTTCTTATTTAAAATTGTAAACCTTAAAAATGTCTCTTTGTAATCAAATAAATCCTAGGTTTTCCTCTACAATACTGCTGTTGACTTAAAAGTCAGCTTAATAAAATAAAAGAATCCCAAAAGGCTATTTATTAACTGTTTAAAGTGAAAAATGCAAATGTTTTAAAATAGTTTGTAAAGTGAGATTAAAATTGATTGGTTAGAAAATAAAAATAAGGAACTATTGATGAATATATGTGATCACGTCATAAGGAGTATTGTAGAGCTTCAGGATGGTAGAACGCAGATCAACAATAACTTGAACAACAGGGCTCACGCCAGGCTTCGGTTTATCATGTCGGGTTTGAGGGATTTTGTGAATCCTCTATGTTCGCATGATTGTCTTGGAACTCTAGCCACTGTAATATACAAACTATAAAGAGTTGTCTCCCTTATATTTTGAATTTGTTTTAACAAATGCACTTTCAGCTCAACTACCATGCCTAGGCGGTCTCTTCCTGAAAAAATAATAAAGTATAATGAAAAATACATAGAGGGCTTCAGCTGGTTATGAAAAAAAATTTGTTGAAAAGAATATTTGCCTGTGAAAAATCACTATACATTTTGATTATCATATTTTGTGGAACCAACTGCATGCGTATTAAATCTACTCAAGCAAAAAATTTTAAAAACTACTAAAAAATAAAAGTCACAGCCTCTTTAGATTTTAAAGAACAGCACTATAAAATTCATAATAATTTCCATGCTAAATGGGGCTTTCTGTATCTAATAATTATTCATTGTATTAAATTTAGAACTGCTTAAACCGTGGAGAGAATAACTATAAAGAATATAAGGGAGATAGCCTGTATGAAGAAGGAGGAGATAGCCTGTATGAAGGAGGAGTTTGTAATTCTTTTGAGTGAAAATTGTAATAAATTGGGTTTTCTAAAAAATAATTATTCCCACAAAAATCTCAGCCCTTCCAGTAGGTATTCTCCAAATATTTAATTAATTTTCGATAACCTTAACAATGGGAGAAGCTGAAAAGCCTATTCTTCTACAATTAATACAAATTCATAAAATTAAAAAAAAATTCTGTAACATTAAGATTTTTTATTAGTAATAAAATGATTATGAAAAAAAAAATATTTTTGTTCTTATCTTTTTAAAATTAATCGATTTTTTAAGATTGTTTTTGAAATAAAAGGAAATAATTAGAAATAATTTTTAAAATTTTTTAAACAAAATATTTATATTTCTCTTATAACCCTTTACATTATAGTCTAATGTACGATATTTAAAACATTTACGGCATTTTTAATAGATTACATTGTGCGTAGGGTTTCCACCGGAATTCCGGGTTACGGTTTACGTACGGAAATGATCCGGAAATTTTTTCCATTTCCATTATGGAAAAGGTTCCGGAAAATCGGAATTCCGGAACGATTTTTTTCCGTAAAACGGAAATTTCCGGAACGTTTTTCCGGAATTACGGATCGTTACGGAATTCCAGAACGTTCCGGAAATTTCCGGAACGTTCTGGAATATCGTTCCGGAAATTTTCCGGAAAATCGTTCCGGAAATTTTACGGTTTCCATTCCGTAAAACGGAAATTTTTCAGGTTTACGTGACGTAAACCGGAAAATTTTCGGTTTCCATTTATACCGGAATTATCCCAGGATTCCGGTTTACGCAACAAATTTCCGGATCATTCCATTTCCAAAATGGAAATTTTTTTCCGGAAAAATGGAAACCCTAATTGTGCGATCACTACAGAATAGCAGAATAGATTTTACATTTGATTATTTTTAAAAAAAATTATTAATTTTAGATTTCATTACCGAGCCGTTTTTTGGCTTGGTAATGGGAATAAGTGTACGAAAATATTTACGGATTTTATATCATGATGTAAAAAATATTTTCAGGTTCATTTTTATCCGTGCATGAGGTAAAAATATAGAATAGAAAATCTTTTATATTTTCAGTTAGGCGATATATATGAAAAATGCTTATCCCAAGTAACAATTTTGCAGAAAATCCGCAGAAATTCCCAGAAATCTTTCCTGGGAATCCCCAGAATTTCCCAGGAATCTTTCACAGGAAAATCCGGTGAAAATGTCGACAGCTATTCTAAGGAATTTCTCGTAACCCATTCCGAGAAACCAGGTCGGAGGAATTTCTTGAAACCCATTCCAAGGATTTTCTCATAACTCTATCCAAGAATTTCTTGTAACCAATTGCAGGGAATTTCTTGTTGCCAATTCCGTTGACAAAGTTTATGGAAATTCTTGGGAATTTCCAGTGAAAAGTTCTTCAAAACCAATTCCTGGGAATTTCCTATTCCCAAAATTTTCTCAAGAGTTCCTCAGGAATATCTTGAAATATTCTCAGCATATTCCTGTGTAAATTCACTGACCAGGACTTAGGCCCAATAATAGTGAATAACTCAATAACTATATTGCCCCTCCAACTTTTTAGAAGTATAACCATCTTCTCAGTCAGAATATTATAGTTGTTTTTGATCTTACTGAAGTTGTCATGTATTTTGTTTGTTCAGACAACAAAATTGTCAAGAAAAAAAAAATTTCAAAATATTTTTTAAAAGATGGTTTTAAAGTAAATTGTCATTTTTTTTATCAATAAGGATGCAAAGAAAAAAAGATTTAGTTTGGGCAGTGCATAATAGAAGAGAACCTCCGAGACACCTTATGAAAAAAACAGTACTTGAAAATTCTGTAGTGAATATTTCTCAGGAATTTCTTGAGAAAAAATGCAGAGAAATTCTCAGGAATTTCACTAAACTTATTCTCTTATTTAATTCCCCTAAAAATCCATAAATTTGTTGACCAAGTCCTAAGAATTTCTCAGGAATTTCCGGAGAAGCATTCAGGAGAATTTCTCGATACTAATTCTCTTTTTAACCCCTTAAAATCTGTAAACATGGTGACCAAGTCCTAAGAATTTCCTAAGAAATTCTTAGATATTTTTTTGAGAAAAATTACAGAAAAATTCTCAGGAATTTCTCGAAACTTATTCTCTTATTTAATTTCCCTAAAATTCCGTAAACTTGGTAACCAAGTCATAAGAATTTCTCAGAAATTTCCGGAGAAGTAATCAGGAGAAATTCTCAGGATTTTCTTGGGGTGAATTAAATAAATTTCCCCAAAGATCCGTAAACAAGTCATAAGAATTACTCAGGAATTTCCGTAGAAGTATTCCAGAGAAACTCTGAGGAATTTCATGGGGAAAAATTCCGTAAAATTTTTCAGGAATTTCTCAAAACTGTGATCCCACAAAAATCTCTCATTTTGGGGACCAATTCTGGTGAATTTCTTGAGAATTTTCAAAAGAATCAGTTACAGGCAATGAATCTCAAGAAATTCCTCGTAAATTCTTCAAAGAAAGTTACCATGGTTGGGGAATCTGGGAAAATTCCTCACTTTTGTTACTTGGGAAAAAGCATTTTAAATATTTTAAACATTATGTATACAGAAAGTTTTTTGTAGCCATTTTAAAGGTTTATGTATTTAAAAATCATTTTAATCATGGTAAATGTCCAAAAGTTACGTCAAAATTTTAAAATTCGAAATAGTTTTGACTATCTCATCAATCTCCACAGACCATGGAGATGATGGAGAACGATCAGTAGTTAACGTCCATGCTTGTGGGAATAGGCAATCTTTTGAGAAAATTTCTCAAAAATTTACAAGTAATTAATAGTTGAAAGTGAATGTTCTTTGCTTCTTGTAAAATCATTTGCTAGAGATTCCTGTCTCTCAATTGCTCAGCTACTCCCATGTATAACAATGTTAAATGATCCATAATTAATATTATATTCATTATCAAGGTATATGAGTATATAACTGAGGTACAGCAAAAAATCTTTTGTACAAGTTGGGTTTCGTAGTATATGAGTACAGAAATAATGTACAAGGACAGATATCGTTCATATATCTATAGGCATTGACCGCATTGTCAGCGTTCATATTTGTTATTTTCATATACTCCAGCAGATGGCGTAAATAAGGGAAGTAATAGGGGTTTTTTACCCCCCCCCCCCTCTAGAATCCTGGGGGACCCCCTAGAATCCTGGGGGACCCCCTAGAATCCTGGGGGACCCCCTAGAATCCTGGGGGTATAACCCAGTAAACATAGTTGGGAACTTTTTTCCATGGAACCATCTGAGGACCTATTCCCCAGAATTTCCCTGATATTTCCCCGATGTTGAGTCCCAAATTTAGAGAATTATTGGGGACCAATTTCTCGTATTCTCGTTTCCCCTTTTTTATGATAAATTCCTAGAAAAATTTATTTCGAGAATTTTATCTCCAATAAATCTGGAGATATTCTGGAAACAAAATTCTCCAAGTCTTAGTTGCGAGAAAAAAAAGAAAATAGGTTGCTCTCAAAAAAGGTAAAAACATGGGGAAAATGCATTAATATGCCATTAGTTTTAAGCGTATTTTGACACTTAGTGGGGGCGAAAATTCATGAAAGAATAGTTACTGAAAAACTGGGTAAAATTATTGAGTGTGTGTTCCAAGTTTTTCTTCAAATCATTTTCCCTGCACCCTTATTCAATTTTTTTTAATTCTTATAATGTAAACCCTTAATATAAAAACAAAATCAAAAAGGATAAAGCATTGTTATGAGTTATGACCAAATTATTTTTTAATTGATAAATAATTTAACTTTATCTCCAATATATCAACACTTGTCTTTTGTCAAAATACTGTATATTTCGAACCATCTATTTCTAAAAACTTTCTTTCTGAGTTTTTATGTATTTAGTCTGTTGAAATTTGATCCCAAAAATGTGTCTCAATTTGGGTTTATAATTGTGACAGGGTTGTCAACTTGTTTATTTCAAAATCTTAGACATAGATATCATAAATATTAGTAAACTGCACCTGAACCATCTAAATTTCTTAAAAATTATCAGTTATTATTTAACAATTACCCCTGTACACACACCCCCCGGACTAAAATGTTAAAATATTGTGAATAATGAACAAGAGAGGGGGGGGGGGGTCATAAGGAGACAAGTCTGAGAAATCTCATAAATAAAAATATAAATCTTTAACTGGCAAAGCATTGCTTAACGTTTTAAGAAAGTTTTCAGACTAGTATCAAAGTCAAACTGATCAGCAATTGACTGTTTTAATTATATCTATATTTCATTTCGATGTTTAACAGGTCATATTTTTACTCTCTAATATTTATATCAAATTCATTTATTCAAATTTTGTTTAAA